GTCACGGCCAACTTACTACCCTACTGTAAAATCCGTTTGAAGCATCATCGAGGCTGCCCATCCACAAATAACTCTACAAACCCAAAGTCGCCACAATACCATCTTCAAGAACAAATTAGTCCTTTAAACATCCACACCACTTTCAAGTTATTCACCATATAGGCATGACTTATTAGAGCTTAAAAAACAAAAATTTTCCAAAATGTCACGTTGGTGCCAGGGAGCCTGCATTTGGCAAGTCTCCAATCCCACCTCCTAGTGATGTCAGATCAAATTTCAACAAACCACGCCTAACTCTCCCATTGAGCTTTACCACGCCCATTATTAAATCCACCTCGATCAGTTGATAGGATCATCCAACATCCAGTCTTCTTTGAATGCAAGGTCATCCACTTCTTGAGTCATTTGGAGTTCACTCGAGAGACTCAGTATGAAAAAGGCATTGAAAAGTGACCATGGAGAACGATACTGACATTGTCACCACGTCGACAAGAAAAAGTACAGCTTTAGTAGGCTACGATTTGATAAAATGAAACAGTCAGAGGGGATAAGACAAGACGTACGACTTGAATGTCGATATCGAAGACAGCAGCAACAGGTCGATGATCACTAGTTTTAATCTCCGCTCTATAGTAGACAAGCAAATTTTTGAGAAGTATTTGATCCGCTGGATCGGTGTTGACAGACGCCTTCTTGAAGGTGATGTTAGCTCGCCGCCAAAGCACACGATCCGTCCAAGAGGGAGAACGCGCCTTCTCGGAGGTGTCGTAGTCGTCACAAAAGAGGTCGTACTTATAAGTAGGCGCGAAATTCAATGGTCCTTCACTAAATCCCTTAAACACGGCATTCGCCTTGCGTTGTACCAAGAGCTGATCACTGCAGTGGAGTTCTGACCACGCTGAACGAGCAACCAATGCCTTCACCTCTTCATTAGGTCGATTGATGCGATAGTTAAGGTCACCAAACCAAAAGACGTAGTCGTGTGAGAGGACACTACGTTTATCGGGTGCCAGAGTGAGGCGCTGGGAGATGTCGAGAACCTCGGCATTGCGCTCACGGTAAGCCGATTGGCCAGCGGTGAGATGAGAGCAGCAAAAACACAGGGAAGTTGCACCGATCTAAAAAGAGGAGAAAAAAATACGTCTTTCAGATCCTCCAGATGGAGATTTCCCAAAGGTTATAAAGGTAATTTGAAAACACATCAATATGGGAAGAGAACAGGGAGAAATAGTAATTGTAAATCATAGATGAATGGCACAATAACCTCAAAAGTACATGGAAGATAAATTCACATACACACACAAAAAAAACAATCAACAGACTAATGGTGGTAATAAAATTACATGTGCAAGAATTAAAAGATTGTAGACGAGTTGGTTAAAGTGAGAACAAACCTGGAATCGCACAGCAACAGCACCCTTATTGCCAGCTTTGGCATGTAGGCCAGTCTTTACAGAAGAAGAGGCCAAACCACGAACGTATTCGCAGAGACCGAGACGAAGGAAGACAAAAATACACACACCGACGAGTTGAGTGGTGCAGAGGAGGACGTACGGTTCACCGGTCTCTGAGGCCTGATCAAAGAGAGTCTGCAGTGTGGTTCCCCAGTACCTCTGATTCTCCGAACTCTGTTTGTTCGCCACTACATTACTTGCATTCAAATCGATGATCTCCTCGAAGCCCACAACGAAGATATCTGTGGGACGATTGAAGGCCTCTGGTTCAGCATGGGGATTTCGGTAGCCGGTGAAGTGTTGGCGTTCCACTAGCAGCCAATCGGAGAGATCGTTGTCACGATGAGCTAAGGAACGCACATTTCTTCCACCATTAACATTCCATGTGCCGATGAAAATTTTTAGCCGTTCACGGCGTGTAAATTCAGCATTTCGGTCAAGAATACTTTGCAGTACTGATTGCGATAGAAAGTGGAGTCTTGGTGGAAGGAATTGGCCTAAAGGGATGAGAAAAGAAAAGGAAAATAAGGATACCGCGCTTTGGTGCCCTGAAAGGCTCTTAAATGTGTCGCCAAGGCCGAAGATGTTTGGATTCGTCACACCTAAATGCGAAGAAGCTGACGAAGACAAATTAGTCGCCGTTCAGACCCACAGTTTCTTTCCACTCAACTTTTGTATGATTCGACTGTTTACCAGCCTCATTCGTATGGGTGACTTGTCCTCTACTTTGTAGCATAAAATAAAACGCAAGATCTATGCGATTGATGACAAAGGCTTACCAGCCACCAGACGTTGCCATCCAACAAGACTGGAGGAGTTGAGTACTGCAACCATAGCCTCCTGTTTGGCACTATCGAAGAAGTTGTTTTTGATGGCGCGAGTAGCACTGCGTTGTACATTTCGCAGTTTTGACCTATCGCTACGCAACGCTCCTGTCCCCGTGTATATTCGACTCACGTTGTCGCCATTCTCAATCCATAGCTAGAGAAGCAAACATTGAGCAAACAAAAAGAAAAAATACGAAAGTGAAACAACGCTAAAGTTAGGCGAACTATAAGAGACTAAGAGTAGGTTGCTTGAATACAATACAACAGACAGGGGAAATGAAAGAGAGTTCAGCTACATCGACAGTGTCTCAAACACATCAAATTTCTGGCAGAGGCTTCACAGAGAAGGTGACGAATGCCTCATTGAAGTGATCAATCTGTCAAAGACTAGATTCGCACTTTGAAGTGGCTTACTCGAGCAAGTCAAGCTCTTTCAACCTTACCTTGAAGGTACAGAGAAGGGCAGCACATACGAGGAAACAGATGAGTCGAGTGAATGTTTGATTTTATCAAAAAAGAGAACGAATTCAAGAACGGCCTCATTTTATGCCCTTAAAACGGTGTGCCACTCAGAATCAGGCGTTTTAGTAAAGTAATGCCTGCAGATTGGACTACAAAAGCTCCACTGACAAACGTGACATGTGAGCATGCAGGTCATCCGAGGACATAACTAATCACAAGCAAGTACTACTAAGGTTAAGTGTCCTCCGGGCCATGTCTAGACTGGGCTTAGATAGTTCATTTAACTGACCGTGCACAAACACACAAGCTCACAGATTGAAGAATTCCTTGGGCATGTCTCTCCGTGTGATTGTTGGTGGTTGAGAGGAGGTTCATCGCTTTCAGGAAGTGCGAGGTGAGCAGCATGGTGGAGATCATGGTTTGCACTGTATTAGTTCGGTCCAAACAATCGACACAATTTGTTCGCACCTTGAGGGTAAAAACAAAAGGAGAGTCCAAGTCCTTGATTATTTCAAAACAGAACCACCTTCATTCATTTAGTGTATCAATTCGGCAATGGCACCTCGTTAAGTACATGGTCTCTTGTACTTCATCTATGCAATTTATACGCGGCTAGTTCGTTACTTTAGCCACGCTGCCATGGTACACAACTTCTGTTTTCACCAGCATAGAAAAAGGCGTGGAAAGGAAAGGGTAATGCTTCCTCTGTGTTGTCCTGACCGCCAATTCTTGCCGTCTTACTGCCCTGGCCGATGACCTTGAGGAATGAGTGATACCTTGGAATTGATTTCTAGTCTTGGTTATTTTACCAGTTGCCATAAGGACAGAGTCATTTGGCTACGCTTTGAACGATTACTTAGCAAAGTTATTTGTTTTTGTTGCAAGAAGAGTAGTTACATTTTTTAATGCAAAAAGGATAAACGGCCCTAAAGATAGACAGGCAAACCAGATATCTAACGAACCCAGTCACATGACAGGCTCAAAAGGGCCTGTAGTAGCTCCTTTGCTCTCAACATACACTAAAAAAGATTAATTGTAGAGGACTTCGTAATTAAGCGAGCATTGTCGCGCACATATGACGGCTCAAAGCTCTTCCACTAGGCCAAGCCGTAGACCATTTGAGAGGCTGAAATAGATCAATGCTGAGCCGTAAAGGAGAATGTTTTTACCGCCGAGCGTCAGCTATGGAACTAAAGATAGGTATCGCCCAAATGTTGTCATAAAGCGACTTACCACGCCATGCTGAAGACGTCTCACCTCCGTCCCATCCATGTAGTAGAAGCCCCACTCATCAAGACAACCTTTTAGCGATGAGAGCAAGGATTCCACACCTTCTAGGGTCTTTGGATTGACACACGAATGGTAGTCGAAGTGAATATAGTTTATTTTTGTCTAGAAGGACAAAGCCAAGGAAGAGAGAAGGAAACTGGCACATCCAACTAGGCAATCCTTAGAAGTGTGAGGGAGACAAACAATGACAAACCATGAATCACACAGATAGGGATAATGGAGTTAGTTTGTAGCTCAAAAAAAAAACGCTACTGAGAAACTTTTAATCCATTTGATTTAGATGTAGACGTACAGTTGAAAGTAATGGCATTGGGCTAAAAATAAAAAGGTGAAGGAAAAGCAAGGGGAGAAACTAAAACACGCATTTTAATACCCAACACTAATTTGATAATTAAGCAGGCTTGATGACATGCGAAGTTACCTTGAACAAGCTTAAAGGAAAGAATTCCATACCCGATAATCAGAGACATTCCAGTGTTCTTTATATTGACGAGAAAGGTTTCCTTCTCCCTCCTTCGAGCCCATTAGATTCAAAATTAAGGTGTTAGTGTAACGCGAGAGAATTTCGGCAAAGTGTCGATCGAAGGCTTGCAAGGAGGTCTCAACAAAACGAAAAATTTTGATTTTGTGAGATCCCACCTGTAAACCCGGCTGCTCCCAAAACAGCGGCACCGTTCCTCGTATCTGAACGTGGCTTAGAACTTGCTTCTCAACGCAAATAAACTAAAAGTAAAAAAAGGGCAAATGACACAATAGAGGAAGAAAGCGAAACAACCTTTTGATTTTTATGATATTATAAGAATAAAGTAAAGTACTAAGCCGTTGGCGTTTACAACACAGTAATTCTCAAACGGCAAATAAAATGGAGGTCAAAGGTAACTGTGAGAAAACAGCTTTTTAGGTGTGTTTACGGCGACCAGTCTCACTTTAGTTCCACACGAACATCATTTTATTATGCTCCGACAGAATAGGACACGACTGCATCATTTACAGTTCCAAAGCTCTGCGACAAAAGGAAATGAATGATTACACAACTAGTGAACTGAAAAAAACAAAGCAAAGATAATTTCCAGCTCTCGATGAGCAAACCATGAGAAACAATCGCAATGGAAAATTACGGTATTGGCAGTAATTTTTTCTAATAATGGCAAACATTTACCAAATCTGATTTATGAGAGCAAATGCAAGGGAATCACAACAATAAAACTCGAAACGTGCAAACATTCCAAACGCAAATGAGCCTAAATTAATGGAGTGGCGAACCAAAGAGATCAACTTGGTACCGAGTTCAAAGTTAGATAGGCAAGCCAATTCGTGATAATGTACGTTCGATAATGGGAAAGAGAAATAGAGATTCGAGTGTAAGGCAGGCGAAGAGGAGCGAAGGCAAAATAGGCGATTGAATATTCTGAAGCTCCACGAATAATATAATACCAAAGAGACAGCATTTTAATAAATAGGGCACAAACAGCTATCGCCCAAACGTACAACTTCAGTTTCAACGAAGTTCGCAACGTAACCACTGTCGTCCACTCCTCGAACGTTAAAGCGCGTACCAGGACGCATGGTGGAGAGACGAGAGACCACACCGATCTGCGCGCGTCGCAATCCGGCGTAGAGTGTAGAAACCCCGAAACTGCCACAGATAGTAGGATAAATCCACTTGGAAGGAGACACTCGTTGTTGAAAGAACAAAGACATCAGACCGCGGTTCCAGAGAAAGCGTTGATCATAGGAGTCGGACCACTTAAAATCCGAACTGGATAACCGAAAATGGCTTTGTTCGCTTCTTGTTATATCGTACGGCAGCCCTGTTGAAAGATCTTTGGCGAAATAAAATGCTCCAGAGGATAAAAGCTTCTTAAACTAAAGATAAAACAAATATAACTGTTATCAAAGGGCAATTTTTGGTCAAAATTTGATTAATTTCATCATGAATAAAACTACAAAAATCAGTGTTCTGAGCAGCATCACTGAGAAATGAAGAGTATTGACAAAAAGCAGTGACAAAAGCGCCAACAGCCCATTACATTTCACAGATAAAAAGAGCATTCACCTCATTATTGCAGTCGTCCTCAAGAAATAGCTTGTTAAGGCATAAGAAGTGGACACTGGTGATTCGGTACACCTCGTAATTAGGGAGTTTACCAACTAGGTGACACTCCGTCACAGCAACTAGAAATGACGGGTACGCTTGCAGGAGGGAGTCATACGTCAACGATTTGTAAACGCCCAAACAACAGAAAATATCAGCAATCTTCACGAACTGATCCTTAATGAGGGAAGTATCGTAGGAATTCAACTCTGTTAATGCTTCAGACTCAATTCGAAGAAACTCCGGTTTGTCTCGCCGCTCCAAAATTGCACAGAGAGGCTCCTGAGATCCACCATCTAGCTGCTTTAGGTATGATAGCCGCCATCCCCTAGGGTAGGCCATTTGACAAATTTGAGATCACTACAGAACACGTAATTCAAAATCTCGGCTGTCTAACTCCAAAGCCATTGGAGGAAATTGATGAAAAGGAACTTAACACATAAACACGTTAAGTTTCTGAAAACCTAGCTATCAACTTTAATATATGTCGTTTGGCATTCCTTACACTGTAACAGTTAGAGGTGTTGCTTAGCTATTAATTATTATATTATGGTAATAGTGACATGCTGTTGACATTCAGTCGACGTTATGACAAAAACATTATAAGTACTGTTTAATATTTGATAAGTGAATGTATACAGACCTGCATTTTATAAATATATAGCCCTGCACAACCACTTATAATTATCTTCGTCATGTCCCGCCAATCTCAAAGTTCTCTGGTGGCTTGTAGGTTCTTGTGTGTTGCGTACTGCATCCTATGTTCGGTCATAGAGTAGTCCAGCTTAAAATTGTTCGTTAATGCCGCTCGTCGAGGTTGTAGTTCCGACAGAACTATGAGCACATGAGCCTTCGGATTCGTTGTATTACATACGAATCGATTTCATGAATCACTCCACTGTCCGTTGCGTTGTGAATTTAGCTACTTTCATCATAAGGTTGCATTTTTCTTGTCCCCTTTTTTTTGCCTTCAGGCAGACCACATCTCACTCGAGCTTTTGTTGCTCTACACATTGTACTTGTCAACGATGCCAACTGTGACGCGTTCTCTTTCTACTGCTCCGTTTAAAGATGTCTATCAAAAGGAGCTTCTGCAGATACTTGATGCTCACCGTGGACCAAAAGCCATTTATTGGGAAGGCAATGCCATTTCTCCCGTTAATCTCATTATTGGACACTCACTTCTTAAAGTGAGCTTGTATTTTTCATCGCATATTTACTCCCCTTATTGAAATTATTAATAATCATCCGCAAAGTTTGGTGAGTTTGAACTCGCTACTTGTATGCACGTCGTTCACTATCCTTCTATAACTATTTTAGGACCATGGTGTCATTCATTCGTTTGTGATTGATCCCTCGCAAACTGCTCCTCCGCCTCCAGAGGTCAATTCAATTTTCTTTATTCTCCATTGTGATTTAAAGGTTCTTGATATTGTCGTTAAATTTCTAAAGGTGTGAGTTCCCTTAACACATGATACTTGGCATCATATAATGTAGTTGAGTAATGGTCCTGCTCTGCGTCTCTTTAATGTAGAGAGTTTTCTCGTCCTCAGTTGTCATCTGTTTCTACAAAGAAGGACTATTGCATAGTTGCCATTCCAAAGTGCTCCATCGTCTGTAAATCATTCCTTCAAGAATCTCAAATTACCGAAAGGCTTGCGGGCATTTACGATCTGTCTTTGACCCTATTGCCCCTTGACAGTGATCTTCTTTCCATGGAGGATCCGGATTGTTTTTCTGTAGGTTTGAAAATGCATATTAATGAGGTTCTTCCTAAGGTATATTCATAGTGTCGTCATCTTTACTTGTAGGATTTTAGCTTACGGAACAAGGAGAACAGTTTATTTAACTTTGCTAAAGGCCTTATGAAATTCCAATCTGTCTACGGTCTCTTTCCTCGGATACGTTCCAAGGGGCCAAAAGCAAAGGTATCTCAAAAATGCGTATTGTATTTTTGCTCAGCTGCGGATATCTCAATTTATTCGTTAATTTTGAATGAAATATGGCTGCAAATTTTGCGTGTGACTGTGCACCCATTAGAAACATGTTTTGTGAGCACTACATTCGCGGTAAAATTCCATCGTGATACAAATCACTTTCGTCAGAAAATGTACCGAAATGCCTGTCATATGAGAGAAATGAATTTGGGCTCATCCAGTAAAGTAGTTTTTTGCGACTTCATATACATTAGTATTGGTGATTGCAGCGGATCGTGGAGATGTTGGCGCAAATGCGGCAGGAGGCGGTGGCCACAGCTAGTCTGGACGCTCCAGCAGTGCAGGAAGGCACCGCTGTACAACCGCTGGAATCGCCTGGTCAGACCGACCTTCTTATCATCATTGATCGCAGCGTTGACGCCTTGACCCCGTGTCTCAGCCAGCTCACCTACGAAGGCCTCATAAATGAAGTTTGGCCGATCATGCACGGCAAGTCTGCACCTTACGTTGTTAGTCGCTTTCGCTCCAAAACATCTAATCTACTTTCAACGGATTGTTTTGCATGCAGGTAGTGCAAAAATATCCCTATCTGGAAGCACAACTGGTCCAAAACGGGTTGTCTTCAACTCCGCTGATGTGCTCTTTTCTGAGATTAGAGATCAAAACTTTGCTGACATCGGAGCTGTTCTTGGAAAGAGAACCAAAGAATTGTCAAGTGTTATGAATGTGGGTTAATTTGATTCGCTCACATCCGTCCTCATGATTTATTTAGGAAGCCAAATCTTCCAATAAAGTGACAACTATTTGTCAGGTTGTAAACCGATTGCCTGAACTGAAACAATCATATGCATCAGCATCATTACGTGAGCTTTACTCTAAAATAGGCACTAACTTTGGTTGTCACTCATTCCTCCACTGCTTTCATGTCTAGACTTGTCCATTGCCGAGAACATCCAAGAGTACGCCACCTCCGAAAACTTCATTGCTTCCTACAAGGCACAACAAGGTATGAATGTGGTTTTCACTTGTTTATTTGGATGTTATCTTTAGACTTTCTGAATGGTCGTGAAGCGGACAAGGTTCATCCCTTCATAGAACAGCGGATCCTTCAAATGGCACCCATCGAAGAGGTATGCGTAGTAATTTGTCTGCTTTAACTAACACTATCTTGTTCCTACCCACAGGTTTTGCAACTGCTCTGTATCCAATCGTTTTGTAGTGGTGGCCTGAAGCAACCATCGCTGGAGTTTTACATGCGTGAGATAATTCAGGTCAGGAATGTAAACAAATGATTAAATTAATTGACTTGCTTGTTTGGACTGAGTTGTGAATGGTATTATTGTTCCGATTTAGATGTACGGAGCAGAGCACATGTTGACGCTGAACAACTTGCGAAAACTTGGTCTACTGGAGGAGAGCTCGCGTCTGGCCCGCATTGCGCGACCTATGGGTAGTCCCGTCGATGTCCTTGCAGGGGATACCAGTGCAGCTGTGCGTCATACAATCGCGTCGGTTTCGCTGGCCTACGCGAGCACCTTACGTAGAAGCCTTCGGCTTCAAGTGACAGATGAGACACCATCTCAAGTACAACAGCGTTCGATAGGGGTGCGGGAAGAGCAGAACCTCGATGCCACTTTTGCGCATATTTTTGGAGGTTCGGTGCCAATTAGTGTACGTTTAGTGCAAGCCATGGCTCTTGATTGGCCCACGCGTCCGCTAATTTCAACCGCCTCTGGCGCGAGTGGGACACTCCTCTTGAGTGCCGCTTCCACTGCCCTTCATGCTGGGCGTAGGTGAGGTTGCCCAACATGAGTCCCAATACATCGTCTCTGAGATTTAATACTACGCTAGTTCCCTAGGTTCGTCTCTCATGTTCAAGGAGCCACTTCTAGCGGCGGCAATTACGTAACCAATCTCATACCAGCAGTGGAGGTGGATGAAGTCCAAACACCCGGAGATATTGGAGCCTCTTCAAAGGGCACTGGCGTGATGAAACGCTTTATGCCCAGTACAGGCGATGAGCGAAGCAAGACGGTTGTGATAGCTTTCGTTGGCGGGGTTACTCACTCCGAGCTGGCAGCTCTTCGCAAAGTATCTGCATACGATGAAGGTAAGTAGTCAAAAGCTTCACGCCAAACCCAGGTGCCATGCCGGCATAACTGAAGCCATGTGCCAAGCCACTGACTATGCGGTCGGTTAACAGCACTCTTTTTTCAGGTCAAGTGGACTTCATCTTCGCAACTACTGGACTTTTAACCTGCAGAAGGTTTATTAAGTCATTGTCGCACCCCATCCCTGTGGCCGAAATTGAAGGATAACTGACATCGACAGCGCAACTCTTTCACATCTCTTTGTAACTACAATTATAATGCTGCGATCTACTTAGCGTACAAAATACACCCATCTTCATCGAGCATTCTATAATCTAAGAACAACCAAAGGTACACGAAAACAGTCGATACCTCGGAGTACCGTCAGTAAAATGGTATAGTGATAATGGGCACAAACGATAATGGTACTACGAACCAGAAGAGCACTAAAACTATGCTCGGCATAAGTCATTGTTGGGGAGTAATCTACCGCATTAAGTATCACGAACTGCAGCCTCATTAGGAGCCCAAAGAAAGCAGAAAGATCAGCTGGACAACCTTGGTATTATTTGGGAAGTGTTATAATCTACGACCGCGACGCCCACCCTTCCTTCTCGTACAATCCGTGGGAATTGGAGTCACATCTTCAACTCTACCGATTCGCATTCCTGAACGCGCAAGAGCTCTCAGCGCTGATTGAGCAGCTGGACTAGGCGTGCGAGCCCTAAGAAAAGCAGTTACAGAAAATAACGTAAGACGTACTTTGTGCCACCCGTGGCACGAATACGAACGTGTAAAGCTCCAATACCCAAAGCCTTGCACCGCTCGGCAACATCCTGCGCAGCAAGCATAGCAGCGTACGGACTCGATTCGTCACGATCAGCACGAACCTTCATTCCTCCAGTGACACGAACAATAGTCTCAGAACACGTCGAATCCGTAACATGGACAAAAGTGTCATTAAACGAGGCGTATATGTGACATACACCAAAAACTATCTCATTAGGATCCAATGCTGCCTTGAGGGACAACTGCTCCTCGGCCTGAACCTTCCCAGCCTTTCTTCTAGCAGCCATTAAGTTTTGACACGACAAAATTGAAAAGCGCGCCCTGAAGCACGTTCAAAATAATGAATTAAATAATTCAGTTAAGCAGAAATTTCTACGGCTTTGCGGTCTAGTAAGTCAAAAAATTATTTTTCACAATAAAATTTTTCATTAAAATTTTAGAGACTATGAGACAACTCAAATGTGGGTTCCTAATCTCTAACTCTTTAAAATGGTCATAATATAACCCTTTTAAATTACCCTAATCCTGCACTATTTAGCAGTAGACTAAATTTATTTTTATAGTTACTCGAATTTACGCTCTTTTAGGCGCACAATCACAGATCGCTAAAATTTTCAGTCTGTCACAACTGCTTACCAGCACATCTCCCAAAGGAACCAGAAAAAAGACTAGAGTTGATCGCGCTTTTTTATTAAACTTTTGATCAGCAATGTCCTGCTTGTACCAGGAAGGGGTTTCGACCCCTTTGCAGGCAGAGATTATGAGCTAAGCGGGTCCTAGTATGGCACATTTAACTAACATGCGGGCGTCTTGAAGATAATGTAAATGCGAGGACCCTTTTTGAAGCAGAAAGAGTTGCCACTCTCATACGAGTAAAAGGCGTGGTATTGACCCTTCACTGTGAATACGTGCCATAGTCGACCATATTTCTCGTCTAGCTTTGCCTTCATAGATCGCACGATTTCCTGTAAAAGAAAGAGTAAGTTGTACCTGTGCTTAAATTCTGATGCATTATTAGGATTTTATTAAGCTTTCACCCAACATTCGTGCTATATCGCAATTTTCCCTTAATGAGAATTTTAACAGTGTTGCATTAAAAGCTTCACAAATGGATTACCCTGTCATTGCCATCACTTATCTCTTCCACTTGCTTCACGAGTTCAAATATGGCTTTCTGTTTGTCCGGCTCCATATCCTCAGCAATTTGAAGGATTTCAGGCTGCTCCTCGGGAGCAGTTGTGTTAGCGCCTTCCCCTTCAATCCTTAAAAATTAGGCGCATAGGAGGCGTGAACGTAACACACAATGAATTAGTAAATTTTGAAGGACAAATGCCAATTCACATTGTTGTACTTTCAAGTTGACAAACTAATGTGGCTTAACAAACATCCATTTTGATTCGTGAGTCCTTGCAAGGATCTACCTAATTAAACGCGACAATCAGTCTAAAGTCTTGACAATTGTATAAAACAATACGCCGTTCTAATAGATATCCCGACCCCTCCTAGTTATTCATAAATATAGGCATTGACATAAAATTTTCACACAATCAAAGTTGGGTATAAAAGTTTGTTGAATTATGTCTACCTACCCCTCCTGGTCCTCCTCCTTGGTCAATCCAAGTACCTCACTAAACCGCTGAAGAGTGATAACTCCTGTGTTTTCTGGATCAAACAGTTTTTGCCATCGCTGAAATGGAAAATGCCTCAGTACGAATTCGAATTCAGTTTACAAAAATGCAGAGTCATTCGTAGCAAAACTCGTTGTCAAATGTAAGGAATAGGCGTTCCAATTTTGAGGTCATGCGCACACAAACGCACAATGTCGCCCATGCCTTAATAGTAATGGTTTGGAATCAGGTCTATTCAACTTTCGAAACACAATTCGCAAGAATTTACGAAGTAGAAATGGGATGACACTTGAGTAGTTTGTTTTTCACCAAGTTTGGCCTTAGCGAAGGCCAAAAATTAAGCCTTACAGGTTGTGTCGATGCTTACCTGAATGAAGGCCTCATTGAGGTTGTTTTCCTTACGGTAGTTTTCCAGATCCTCTATTGTAATCACGTCTAAAAGGTATGTAAGCATTCAATGCAATTTTTATGACATTACTGCCTTGAAGCAGACTACTATTGGAGCCATTCGTCTACAGACGAAGAATGGAGATTATAGAAGCTTAACTTTCAGAAAGGTTCGTCAGTATAATCATCGGTATTGAGAGGAAAATACAGTGTAAAAGGCATCGAGACACCGGTAACCAGTATCTCTACATTGATAAACTCCGACAACAATAGGATATAAGCAAATCCAGAAGCAAGTTACTACTTGCATCCACTTCTGACGTTTCAAACGCACGTGTATTATTCGTAAAATATTTTCTGGTCGAATAAGCCTCTCTTAGTTAGGAAATCTCCTATTTTTATCATTATGTCAAAGTGGTTCGACGCTTGCATTGAAACCCACCCAGTAGGCCTTGTACACTAGTGTGAACCATGAGGCGGTGCCAGAAGCACAAAAATTCGCGTCAGAGCGTGCACACTTGGGCTTTGAAAACGGTCATAGCGCGCTGCCCTATCGACGCCTTCACGCTTGAATATGCGAACCGTTTATGTGGTACTGAAGGTTTCTCTATTCCACATAATTTTCGGGACTTAGGACACGAAGTTAAACTGCTAATAGTTGAAATTCGAAGTTATTTTACTGAAGTCAAGCAAACGTTTGTTACATCTACACTAACAATCACGCCATATATGCTTAACCATATTCATTAAACAATGCTTCACACAAATTTTAGCCACCGCTCATTCTTTATTTAACGAGTTTATGCACTCATAGAAGATGTTTTTAATGGCATATTTACATGCATAGGAAGCCTTAAAACATGCCAAAAGTATGCACAGCGCGAATTAAATCTTATGCTGATGACGTACCCGCATGCTTCTTGTCAATTGTGAAATAAGCGTCCTTCAGTTCTTCGCACATTATAACGAAAAAGCCAAATATTGATAAGTAGAAGATGTAGTTAAAACAAATATCCCTCCTCGATCAGGTGTCTCGCCCCAGCAACAGTAACAACAACAACAACGACAGCGGAGTGTAACTGTTGCCAATTCATGCGTAGCGGCTTGCCATTGAATCGTCTTAGCATGTGTGCGTACGTGCTTGCCATTCTGGCCACTCACCTGCGTCGCTTCTTCGGAGCGGGCCTTCTTTCATGTGCTGATTGGACCTCTTTTAGCCAATAAGCAAATGCCTCTATCCATTTAGCTTACAAAAGGAGGTACTACCCTCTGCAGGAATGGAAGGCATGGCAGGCCACGTGGTCGCTTACTTAAAGGCAACAGCATGTTCAGGACGCACCTCGACGGTCGCATTACATGTGATTGTGGAGCTCAAATTTGGAAAATAGAAAAAATTTGCATTAAAAAAAGACAAATCAAAATCTGTTCGTGAAAAATTGTCGAAAGAGCATCAGACCCAAACGCATGTGTTATGATAATGAGCACAGAAGATAGTATTTAACAAGGGAGTCAAAATTGTGGCACAACCGCAAGGTGTCAACATAATTATTTTTGGCGATTATACAAAGGCATTTCGGGAAGTGAGCAAGGAATTATGGTATTACACTCGAAAGTCAATTTTGTAATGAAAAGTATCGAACCAAATGTGATTCAGTTTTTGACTAAGTAAAGGTCGTAGCTAGTATAAATGTAAAAAATTTTTAATTATATAGCGAAAGTAAATTTCAAACTTTGAAGTATCACCAAAACTGTCTCCATTTGGCTTCATGCATTTTTTGTTACAATGCGTAGACTTTTGTAATATGACCTTTTATGTTCGTGCTGATTAGAATAGATAGAATTGAACTTCGGGATGCCATCTAGGGACTTGGACTTTATGATTTCCATAGTCCTAAAAGAAATAGGAAAGGAGAGGAACGATGAAATTAGGAAAGACCCTAGTCTTCCTATTCGCTTATGGAAAAGTCTTGTCAATCGCGTATCGTACGTTTTTCCCTTGTTCATTTGTTTCCAGACTAAAAAATGCAGAATTATCCCTAAAAAACTGCAATCTTTTACTCATTCATTTAAATGAGATGGGTGTTTCTTTGAAGTCGGATGTAGTCTTGAATGATCTGAGTTCAACCATATTCGCGATGGGCATTGATGGCTCTGCTGGAATGTCAGATGAAGCGTGGATTTCCCTCATTAATCTAATTGAGAAATCTCTTTTACTTTCCCCATTTGCGTAGGTCTCTTTGATGTTTATGCAGAAGGTGTAGTGTTGGCTCTGATTTTGACATGAGACTTCTACCTATTTTGGCACATTTATACTCCCATATACTGGAAATCATGCAAAGCTCGAGAGGTAATAAGGTCCGGCTTCGTGCTATTTCTTCGGTCGGTGTTCTGTTGAAATGTTTCAACAAGGAACCCAAAAATATATCCACTTACGAGCGAGCGGTTCGCGCTTCGTATGTCTCGAAAATTCTCCCTGGTTTTTCACAAGCTCTATTGGTTGCTGTTGTGGGGGAGAAGGGCAGAAACTCGGTCGTAAAAGCTGTAAGATATGTGAATAAGTGACAAATTTAGAGTGCCCTTCGGACCCTGTCAAAGTTGACCCTGGCTTGCTTCGAGGATCAAACTTTGGAAGCTGTGGAATGTAAATATATCCTTCTTTCTTTGCTTATTTAAGCCAATAGCTTTGGATGAATGTACCCTTGTCAAGCTTCAGCTGGTGGATTATTCTTCTTTTGTGGAGAGCTCCATAACCCCACTTGGGAGGCTCCTGAAACGTTGTTCCATGTCTATACTCTCCGAACCAGTGACCTACAATCCGTCAGCGAAAGATCGATTATGTTTGGCACTTTCCGATTTTTCTTCGGACATACTTCGCGGTTGCTGGCGATTCCTTAATCTGAGCCTAGATGCGCAGTCAGCACGGGATCATATTCTCAGCTCTCTTATTGTCGTTGATGTTGATGAGAGTTGTTCCTCCTTCAAGAGGGCCTCTGATGTTCTCTCCGAACTTTCAAAACGAGATTTTCCGGTACTGGCCTCTCAGGAAGTTTCTGGCTTAAATTTTTCTAGTCTTCCTGGCCGAGAAGTTGTCGATGATACAGCGCGTCAAATTTTGTTAAATGGATTAAAGGTGCTTACAAAAAGCTTACAAAAATGTTCAGGTTGGTTGTTTCATGGACATTTTTGGATATTGTTTCGAGTTACCAGTTTATGATGATTTATCTTGTAGACGAGAACACTTGTCGGTCTCTTTTTGGTCAACTTTGTGGTGTCATAAAATTCTTGGGCAAGTGCATTTTTTCATTTAATTACAACTTATAGGTCTTAAGGGCATTACTCGATTCATTGAAAACGAAGGCAATCTGCAGTCCTTTCTTAAGGTCTTGTGTAGATATTTGGAGATCGATCCTGACACTGTTTGTCTAGTTGATGAAGTCTACTCATTACCCACCGATACATTTCCATCTGGTAGTTGCTCTGTATTCTTTTACTATTTGCTTATTTTCCTGGTAGTCCAGCTCTTCAGGAAGTATTTTGTGCATTTTCGAAATCCCGCAAATCTCTATCGCGTGTTAGACATGGTTCGCCTTCTAACTTGTTCATGTAAGTTATTTAAGTTACTGATGAAGATAGGCGTAAACTTTGATTGCGTAAGCCAAATGCTTGTACGACTCTTGGAGTCTGAATCGGATCTTGAGGCGCCGTCCCTTCTTCTCCTTTCTGCATCCCTTTCTGGCCTCTCCTGTTGTGGTAAGTTGTTATCGTGTTGCTTTTTTTGCGCTTTGCCCACTTTTTTCCCCCGAAGGATCTATAACGAGGTGCTCGTACTTTTTTAGATGACCAGCCTAGATCAGAAAGGATTAGTCTTGTCGCGTAAGTTCTCTTAGAGCTTGTAGTTGTACTACTTATTCGCAGCGGTTACGGCAATGCTTCTTTTCCTGTCTAGTGCTTTGATAGACCAACTCTCCGAACGGAACTTACTTCAGTTGCACTCTGAAACGAACCAAACTGCTATTGTTCAATGGCCTCCAACGGAAAAACCCCTACTTGAAGCAACCCCTACTAATACTACAAGAGAACAAAAAGTTCGGTGCTTGAAGGCCTGCATCTTCATGGAACTCCTTACTACTGCTTCCACGGTTTGTTTTCAAACGGCTTTGTTCCTTGCATATGGCCTTATCTGTATGAATTATTCAAGGCGTATTAAACACCAGGTTGAAGTCGCCGCAACTGTACATAACTTTTCATTCCATCCTTAAGTCGAATAGTGGGCACAAAACCTCAGGCATGGTATTTTCAACGTTTTTTTCCATTCTGCAGGTTTGGAGGTCACCTGTGGAAGAATGTGCCACCTATCCGGATGAAATGCAACCATTCATTCTACAAATGTTTGGCCTCGCAACTGGTGCTGGGTTGATCGCTTCGACTTCTCAACGAGCCCTATCATCCATCTCTACGAATTGTGGCTACCTCAGGTTCTTATATTCGCTTTCTAATTTCATAGTTATTAATTACAGTCACTAGCCATCACGACTGCATCTGTAATCATGATTCTTCCTTTCTTTTTTTTTTAGATTTGAGGAATTCACTTGTGCCGCAGCTGAGCCCATCCTCTCTTCCCTGACGATAGACTTTCATTCAGTTCTACTCTCTATACCATCGGATAATTCAACATTCTCCACATCTCCGTTGTTTAAAAAGTTGGAGACCGCTTGTCGAGCCCTCTCCTACCTAGTGGAAAATACCACTTTTGAGGCGATTCAACGAGTACAACCAGCCGTAATGCAAGTATGTGGTTCATCCGCTCTTCTAAATTGGGACTATTTAATGCGCTTCTGATGTATGCTTTTATTCAATAGATGCTTATTTGCATGGATCAAAGTTATGAGTTCGCTGCGTCCGTGTTTTTGCCCGTTCTTCGTAAGATCATTGGTTTTTGCTTGCGACCAACTCCAAATGAGGAACTTAGTGATGACGCCAAGCGCATACCTTCGATAAGCACATCGTCGGCAAACGGTTCGGAAGTTAGTTACATCGAAAAGCTAAGGAATCGGAGGAATGATAAGGTGAGAGGGATGCAAGTTAGACCTATTACTGATCCAAACGGATGGAGTAAGTCATGTGGCAATTCTCCCTTTCAGTCTGTCATAGCCAGCTGCATGAAGAAGACCCTTGAGATGACCTCCGCCTTGGTCAATCTGACGCGTAGGCAGCATAGTTATGCCTTTGCTGAGCCTTCTTACGTTGACGAGACTGTGGATTCCCCAACGACTTTTGATGAACACGACACGCACGATGCCGAACATGAAAAGCCAATCGCTCGTCCCACCCAAGTACGGCTGGCTGAAGAGGCAAGTTGTCATCTTTATAAAGAACTTTCCCTCTTCTATTGTAGGTAATGCTCCGCACGGTCCACATGATGTCGAGCAATGACACTCGTCTCAAGATGTTATCGATGTCTCTCCTCTGCGACGGTTGTTCGCGTTTAAATGACGAGGGTATCATTTGTTTATCTTAATAACGTCATTCAGTACGAGGTTACTTTATGGCTGATTTACATCTCCCAGATGTACTTCTACCCTTGGTTCACAAAATCTGGTCCCCACTGTTAGCAAGGATGCAAGATCGTAATCCTGCAGTTGTTGAAAAGGTGACATGATGCCTTTGATTTAATGACTGCCTCAGGCATTCGAGTTGTTCGCCACACTGACCTCTGCAGCGGGCACCTTCATTCGATCCCGAGCAACAACCGATTTGATTGGGTCTCTAGTGACATTTCTGGACCGTGGGGCTTCTTTCAGGTATTTCATCGACTGCACGAATGCACAATTTTATTCATCTCCTTCTGTGAGCCCATTATGAACTGTTTCTGTTTGTTTTGAGCAGCGCAGGAGCCACATCTTCTTTCGAGTGCCTTACTGCTTGTCGTGTCCAGAAGAGGCTTCTTTATGCTCTCGGACCCATTTGCGTACAGGTGCATATTTTTTGTGATTAGAATCATGACACTTATGTTAATTTGTCTATTTATTCTTTTTGACCGAATACCCAACTGCTGCAGAATCTTGGATTCTGACATGGTGCCGATGAAAGTGTTTTTAATGACGTGAATTGTCGTGTTAAAATTGTGAGTTTAGGTGAATATTTTGTCTACAACTTGATAATGCACCTTCTTTTTCAGTTAGAGCTATTTTCCAATGCTTTGCATCCAGTGGTGAAAGTGCTGTGCAAGTATACTAACGAGGATCAGCCCTCGGTTTTAAGAGAGGTAACTTTATGGTGATTGAATAAAACGATTAACATTTGTAAAATATCGTACCACAGTTGTTGGATTTCAGGCAGCTGCACGTTCCCTTTGGAAACTGTACGATCTGGATTCAGGACTCGTGGCATACGAACTATACGAACACGGTTTCCTTGAGCATTAGATGTTGGCTTACCTTTCCAGATGAATTTCTTGATGCTTCCTTTATGCGATAACTTTATGTCTTGTGGTTGCTTTACGATTTTTCTTGCCCTTGTGCGCGTGAGGTTGCCTTTGGACTAAGCTCAAACTTAGACCTCTGCTCCTTCTGGAAAACGTGTATTCAGCCCCATTTAATGAATACTTTTGCATGGAGAGAGGTCTTGGAGCACTCAAATTTTGCCCTCCAGTAGCTGATGCTCGTCTGTCGATAACCGTTCTCTGGGTCGGCGTAGGCCGTTCGGTAATTGTGAATGGGCATATCATTTGCCAAGGGGTGGTTAGTGCATATTTTTAGATTACTTGGACCGTTGGATAGCTGTAGGGGTATCTAGCATTGTAAGAGAGATTCCGATGAGGTTCTGGTGCGGGCGATTGGGGGTTTATTCAATTTTCGCTGCCATGGGCCACGTTATAGGGAGTCGGTGGAATCGATCTTTAGTGGGACACAAGTTGCGCATTCATTCAATCTGATTTTATAAAACGATGTCTGAAATGCGGTTTCGCAGCTCAAACAAATAGCTAAACAAAGAAACCTTGAATATTGTAATTTATGATGTCGGATGTGTCGCAATGTTCATCGGTATACAGCGAAAGCTATTTAGACTCATTGGATTTCAAAATTATATTACTCAAAATTTGTTTAAATCGTCGGTCGCAAAATGTGCGGCTCTGCAATGCTCAATCTTGGTAGCTTCAGGTCAAGGGTCGCTTTTGTTAGGCGGAATTTTCTTTCTGTTGCTGTTCCGTGCACGCTCGGTTATATAATTTACGTGGATTATTCGAAGACGCGTCAAGAAAAGGTAGTATTAACTGGACTGCGACTAATTGTATGTAGGCCGCTAAAGCTGTTACGAATGGCGATCCCTAATTGGTTCAGAATAAAAGGCAAAGAAATAGTTTCTGCGGCGATTTTCGGCTCAACGGCAGCGTATCTTGTTTTTTATTGTCTTTACAACTCAAAATCATTTGCTCTTGACACCTACAAAGGTCGCAGCGCCCTTTACTGCAGTCGTAAAGTGCCTCCTGGTTCCGATCCTTGGAGATACTAGGCTCTTATTTGCCTTTGCCTTGCAGAAATAAACCATATATGAACTTCTTTACTCTTTTTTGTTTGATTTGTTGTGAGTATCTGGTTAGCACTGCATGAATATATTCATTGTAGACCAATGGCGGAGACGAGGAGTAGGCGTTTGAATCCGGTGGAGGACTTCAAAACCATGGAATTCGAAACATCTGAGGATGTGGATGTTTTGCCCACTTTCGATTCTATGAACCTTAGAGAGGATCTTTTGCGGGGGATATATGCCTATGGTTTTGAACGTCCATCCGCGATCCAACAGCGAGCAATTAAGCAAATTATCCTTGGACGGGATGTGATTGCGCAGTATGTTTCAGGCTTCTGACTAAGTCTTTATCCTAGAGCCCAGTCCGGAACAGGGAAGACGGCAACGCTGGCAATAGCTTCGTTACAGGTTCTTGATATTCAACTTCGCGACACTCAAGTTCTCATCCTCTCACCCACGCGCGAACTTGCTCTGCAAATTCAAAAGGTTATTTTGGTTCTGGGAGACTTTATGAACGTCCAATGCCATGCATGCTATGGAGGTACTAATGTTGGTGAAGACATCAAGAAGCTTGATTATGGTCAGCATATTGTTTCGGGCACACCTGGTCGTGTCTTTGGTGAGTCATTTTATGCGCCTCCACTATTCTATCATAACCCACTCTAAGATTCATTAATAGCTTATGTTTTACTTCCAGATTTTATATTCTAGAGCTTTACCTATCTTATTATGAAATTTTGTTTAACATCCATATTTGCGATCAGATATGATTAAAAGGCGAAATCTTCGTACGCGAACTATCAAACTCTTGATTTTGGATGAAGCTGACGAGATGCTTGACAAAGGCTTCAAGGAGCAAATTTATGACGTCTATCGCTATCTTCCGCCTGGAACTCAAGTCGTTCTTTTATCCGCTACTATGCCGCACGATATTCTTGAAATGACTTCAAAATTTATGACTGATCCTGTTCGCATTCTCGTTAAGCGGTATGTTCCTGGCATTTTAGTCCATTCGTGTCCGTTAATTGGTATGATACTTGCACGAACTTTCACCGCCTTCCCTTTCAGCGATGAACTTACCTTGGAGGGTATCAAGCAATTTTTCGTAGCAGTGGAGCGAGAGGAGTGGAAATTCGAAACACTCTGTGACCTCTACGATACTCTAACCGTCACTCAGTCCGTCATATTTTGCAACACTCGTCGGAAGGCTGAGTGGCTGGCCGATAAAATGCGCAAGAGTAACTTCACCGTCACGGTAATGCATGGTGATATGGTTCAGAAGGAGCGCGAGGAAATTATGAAAAATTTCCGCAGCAGCGAGAGGTAAGACGAAGTTGGTATATTGTCCGTGTGGCAAACTTAAACACTACTTTACCTTTATTTATTTGTATATTTTTATTCCTAGTCGCGTTCTGATCACAACTGACCTCTTGGCCAGAGGTATAGATGTTCAACAGGTTTCCATGGTCATTAACTACGACTTGCCAAATAACCGTGAGCTTTACATTCATCGCATTGGGAGGTCGGGGCGGTTTGGACGCAAAGGTGTTGCCATAAACTTTGTGAAGAATGAAGATATTCGCATTCTGAGAGACATTGAGCAATACTACTCTACTCAAATCGATGAAATGCCAATGAATGTTTCCGACTTGGTTTGAACATTAGTGGCAGTTGTGTATATAGATGTGCGTCGGTGTTGCTTCCGGAATATATTTGCCATTTATACACACTGGTTCTGTGGCATTTGCTGTTTATCAAGTACAAGAAAAGCGAAGAGTTCAAAAGTAGACATTGATGTTTGTTTATTTCCAAAATTGTGTTTCGGTGAGAAATGAACTAGAATATAGGTACCGATTGTCGCAAATTGAAATCAAGTACAAAAACGGAATGATGTCATGACTACGGGGAGTAAAAGTGGTGTGTATCGAAAGTCACTGGTTGAGAAATTCTACGATTGCGTCCGTGCTAAATAGTTGGCTTTCGACAAGGCGCTTTGTCTATGGACAGTCAGAGGGAGACAGAACTCACTTTTCCAAATTCCATCAAGGTGGGTACCTTGGATATATCTAGTTGCGGCTCCAGGCGGAACTCGTTATTTTGATCTTTCCATCTTAAGCGTAGGTTTGATTTGAAAAATAAGCATACTCCTTCCGATTCCCGGTGTGAATCGTAAGAAATACCGCGTTTGGAGGTAGCTGTTTCACGGCCTCCTTAACACACTTTTCCGCTAAAAACATGTTGAGGGTGAATACTTTTGGAGCATGTAAGTTATTGAGAGTCTGCTATCAGCACAAATCATTGAGTGACAAGTTACCTTTCTGACAATCTGGGCACCAACTTTCTCCCGTTTCGTCGGGAGAGGCAATGAAGTAAAGGAAACATCTATTGCTGCAGTTTTTATGCACGCTTTCAAGCACTTCATTCACTGTTTTAAGGGCCATGAATCACTATGCAGGAATGATAGACCTAACCAGAGAAATCAAGATAAAACGCCAACATGCTTTTTTGCATAAAAAGCGTACGAAAACGTGAACGACTTTTCAGCACGCAAGTGCCACCAACAAATATAAACAAAGAAGGTTTCTTAAATATGGAGTTTATGAACTTAAAAGTCAAGCAGTTTCACTTACAGACTTTTTTGCCGAAGTTATTTTCTTTGTTCGTGTGCATATTTAAGTAGTATCAGAACATGCCAATATTATATCAGCCTACGTGCATTATGCATTAGTGTATCCCGTACTACCACTGCCATGGAATGTGGAATACATTTTGGGACCCCATCTTCATTGCTATGGGAGTGGCCCTTACTATCTCGCAATGACATTAGCGATGCAATAACGGCTCTAACATTTTATCTATTCACTGTAATATTTCCAGTCCTTTTAACTCCGATTTTCTTCATATGATGTCGATAACAATTAAAATGCGTTAGCTTTTCGTGGTATGATGGATGGGTTTCTCTGTTTGTCTGAATTCGCTGACTCCTCTGCGTCCCCTGACATCGAGTTTAACTTCAAATGCGCGCACTCAATACCATCCGCAAGTGTTAACTTGAAGTGTTGTATTCTTCGATTCTCATAGAATTTACATTTATTGAACAACTATGAATATGCTCATTGGCGTAGTTGAATTTTGTTGTCCATCATGCCCTTGCCAGTCTTTCATATTTAGTCAGAGAAATGTTTTTAGTTTCTGTTGAGTATTTTACCATGTTGAGTAATTTGGGAAGACATACAAACTATTAGGGTGCTCTAAAATTCTGCTACAGCCTACACAACAGATATGTTCTGTCATTCACGCCATGTTTACTTTGATCATGGCATGCCCTTCTGACCAAATAACATCTATTCTTCTGTGATCTAATTGCTGACAAAATTCCAATCATAATTCTACCTAGGCGTGCCACAATAAAATTTAGTTTTATTTATGTGCGCCCCACCCCCTAACCCATATTTGTGGAGTTCGTGGCCTGGAAAAGTACTCTAATAAAACACATCACTTAAAATCGATGCGCACTGCAGCTAGGCTCTACGTGCGGTTTATTGTTTTGTGCCGCCGAGGGAAAGTACAAGCTATGAAAACGGGAATGCCTCTAAAGCAAACCACCAAATTCCCTTATGAGAAGCTTAATTTCATTTATGTATTACACATTAAAGGTCTCTGCTTGTTCTGCAAAAGTATTAGTCCTTAATATTAGCCGAAGTAAAAGTCACGCAATGACACTGCGATGCACTAACAAGTGCTTAAAATCTAATCTACTAACAGATTAAATGATTTCCTCAAATACCTCGAACATGGGCTACGAACGCAGTTCGATGTCTGCACAACACATAAGGCGAAGTTTCGAAGTGAACAAACTTTAGAATGTAAAGAATTTATTCGTCTCAACAGTTCTTCAATGCACATGACGCAAAAAATATATTTATACACCAAAATACTTCTTTCGGTGCTATAGCATAATGCACGTGTTTGTATCAGAAGACGCTTAGTACCGACACCTCCCGACCCCCACTCCCTCCCTCTTTCTCTCTCCCACTCTCTCACCCCTTTTTGCCGCCCTCCACCTACCCTGTTCTCCGCACACTCTCACCAATCAAATTGCAGCATCAGTAGGTATTTCTCCACCAATAGGAAGCCAGGCACATTCCAAACCCCCTGATCGATAGGCAGAAGGGAGAGTCTAACCTTTTACATAATCCTGTAATTCCATTTAAGGCAAGCTTTCTTCCAGCTCCTCTGAAGTAACTGCCTCCTCTCAACTCTAGTGTCAAGGCTGCTGCTTTGTTGCTATGGCTTTAAAGTTCTCAGTTGTTGCACCACAGGCACTAATGTAAATGGGAAGTATTTTCAAGTTACTGCCCTAGCCGCTATGCAAGGCATATGTTTTGACGAAACGAAAGAATGCGCGTGTTTTCTGATTGCTCTTAAGCCTGGCATTTTATTAAGGCAAAATAAAAGGGAGCAAATAAACAAACTAGTACATCGAACGGAAGCAGGGGAGGTAAAAATTAGAGGGGACAAAGAGATGGCGGGTCGGGCAAGCATGGCGTATTTCATCAATCCAACATCATTTACTTATTTCGGACTAGTCTTGAGTTGAATACGTTGATATTGTAGCATCTAAAAGGAGAGAAGCAAAACAATGTATTTTGTGTGCTCCCATTTGCACTTATAATCTCGAAATACCATAAAATTTTAAAGAATTTATTCGATAAAGAATGTTTTATATTATGTCCCCATACATAAATCAGGCAGCAAGATCCCAAATTATGCGTCAAATTTATTTTTTTCTGCATAACTTTAGGATTTACAGGAATGTTAAAAAACACAAAAGCCAACTCTGGCCACCTCCCATATTCTCATCACATTTTCACTTCTTGCACATGTCGCCTATTTTTGTTTGCATGCTTTCATGCGATCAGACTATAGTAATCGCCAGTTCTAATATTAACTACTCGTGGAGCCAATAAAGGAATGCGAGTGGTGTTGGGATCGCGACTTCCTACCTAACTGAAGTGCATAAATCATCTCGTGACTGACAATCCCATTATTTGATAAGGTTTTAGAAAGAATCGTCTTCTTATAACGTGGCTAGACACATTTATTTATTTTACACGAGGAAGATGACCAACGACAATCACCTTAGCCTTGGTTAAAATAAGGCACAAGCCCATGACCTCTACATGAGGATGCAGAGGCCATTCCGAGGGCAAATGAACGTTGACTCTCGAAGGTGAAGGAGTCACAAGCACTACAAACTGCAATAATCTCAGTATGAAATACAAATAAAAGATTCTCCTCTCCT